TGCGGGGCAAATTCATCTTAAGGACAAAGTGTCCAACACTTACCTCGGCCAAAAATTCATCACTTGCATCTTCATCCTCATTTTCTGATTTCTTTTTATTATGATTTGATTTCAGAAAATGATTAATCTTATATATATATATATATATATATATATATATCCGTATCACGTATTGAAATTTATGCATGTTCGACTAGCACTGTGCACAACATCATTTTAAACTGTTGTAATCTGGACCAGCTGGTCGGTTATATCTTTGAACAATGTGCTGGGACCTTTAACTCAATGAGTGTTTTGTGAATCAGGAATTTTGATTGAGCCTTGTGCAAAACTAAATATTCTGTCCATAAGTCTCTGAGTGCACATCCTTTTGTTTTACGTTCAGGAATTTGATAAGTTGATTATTCAAATAAATGAGATTTATTTGGAATGAAAACAGTTTATATTACAATGCATCTTACGGGTTATCTCCTCCAATTCTAATTTCGCATGTGAACCGATGCCTGTTGAGTTCCGAAAAAATCATTAAGTTGTGAACTTAATCATACTGTAACTACCGACTATTGCATTATGCCGTCCATTTATTTATAATATGATGGAAAATAAATTATTGCATTGGAAGTCTATGGAAAGATGTAAATAAATTATAAAATACATGTCTGCCGTTTGTTCCTAATTACACTCCATGTGCCAATCGTATATTTGCACAAGTCTTTGCATGGTTGGAATAATTGCATGCAAAATAATTTAGATTTGAAATTGGGTTTAGAAAATGTTGGATATATGTTGTTGTTCAAAAGGCAATAAACCTGTGCGTTGAATGAAAAGGAGAACTGAAAATCCATAACAAATGTTTCTGTTTTAAATCCGTTTCTAATGAATTTTCTATTGGATATTACCAAAGCCATATTTATTGATATTGATCATGTCAATTCATAATAAAGAATTCAGTTTTCTTTTTTCGGTTAATTGGCGGAAGTTTCAAAAGTGAAACGAGAACATTTAAGTTGGCCATGATGACTGTTCAAATCCGACTTCAGTTTCCTTCATCTTTCCATGTATAGTTTATCCTTATACATGTGATGATTATTGCTTAATATATATAATTTGCAAAGGAAGTCCACTGATGAGAGATTCAAATAATTAGTGATTTATGAGTAAGAGAATTAAAATATGTCTTACATGTGGGTATGTATCACGAGGCCACTTTTGCATTAGGATGTTGCCTAATTTTTTTAGTGCTACTGTGAAACATTCAAATCCAGATTTGTGATGTGGATAATAGTCTCTTGATGTTTCGCGAGTATGGAAAATTATGTCCGTTCATTTCATAGCTGCCAAATACGGTAGGCTTCCATATACAGTAGGCTGCTAAATACGATAAGTATGTAAGCTGTCAAATACGGTAAGTTGTCATATACGGTAGGCTGCCAAATACGGTAAGTTGGTAAGCTTCAATATACGGTAAGTTGCATATACAGTATGCATCAATCCGATAAGTGACATACACGGTATGAAGTTGCAAATTCGGTATATGTCCATGATTTTGGTTTGAAAATTATACAAACATTGGTTAATGATGATAGTCTCAATTAATTCTATGAAATTAAATGAGATGACTTATGCAAAATTATAGTTGCATAAGAGTGCGACAAAATGTGGTTTTGTCCTAATTATTTTAAAGTGAAAATTGCTTGCCCAATTATTGGGATATGAAAATATCTCATAGAGCACAAATGGTGTCTATAATTGGCAGTGATGCCGAATATCCTTAAAAATAATGATTGTAAATTAACATTCATTTGTAAAGGATAAAACTATCTTATGGAGAAAAAAATTGTGAAGAATACTATGAAGTATTCTAGAATTAATTCCATGAGGTATGTCATTTTGTAAGGTTGTAAATTTGAGAACACAACTTGTCAACATATAGTTGATTAATTCATTGAAATGTGAATACGGTGACTAAGATGAAATGTACCTTATTATTTGACATAAATAATATTATTTTGTGAAATGTTACAATGTGATAAAATCATATATGTTCGGAGAAGTTGCAAGTCTTGTAAATCAAGGTGCTTAGTCTTCTTCATTATTAAAATTGACTTCAATCGTGAAACCAATTAAGTTGGTTATTGAAATTGACTTCAATTGGAGAACCAATTAAGTAGGTTTATGCTTGGAAAAACGTTGTTGGTCGAGTGACGACCTTAATGATGACCTTGATTAATTTTGAAGATCAAATACAATTTCGAATGAAAAATGATTTTTCATACATATGAAGCAACGACCACTATTTTGAAAGTACTTAGACTTTCACTTGAATCGAATATTATCTAAGTGATTGAACTATGAAAGAGTTGATGAACTCTAAGTTCAAGAATAACCCAAAAATGTGGGGGTTATCATAAATACTTGAGAACTTATGTGAAAATTTCAAGACGTGTGGGTGCAACATTATTACTTGCGCATATATTCCTAATTCAGGAATTGTGGGGGTAACCTAGTTTAAAGTGACACTTTAAACTACCCCTCAAGGAAATGGAAGAGACTCCATATTAGTTATGGAAATGTCATCATCCTTCCTACCAGCACTTAAAAGTGTGTGGGTGTTTGGTAAAGGTTGAGATTCCTAAACCTAAACAAATAAAGATTGGTCCCAAAACGATTGATTGCATATTTATTGGATACGTCAATAATAATAGTGCATATCGTTTACTTGTACACAAATTAGATGTACACGAGGGTACCATAATTGAGTCAAGGAATGCGATATTATTTGAGAATGTGTTTCCTTGCAAGACAAGGAAAATGTAAGTTTGAATAAAAGAACATATGAAACTACGAATGGATTTTCAAATGAGGAAGAACCAAGGCGCAGTAAGAGGGCTAGAACGTCCACTTCGTTTGGTCCAGATTTTCTAACAAATATGGAAGAAAATGACCCAAAGACTTCTGAAAAAGCAATGTCTATTCTGGAAGTACCGCATTAGAAGGAAGCTATCAATAGTGTGATAGATTCCATAATGCAAATTTATACATGGAAATTGGTAGATGTACCTCCCGAAAATAAGCCTTAGGATGTAAATGGATTAAAACCTGATGGATCCATTGACAAATATTAGTTGCTAAAGGATATGGGCAGGAAGAATGATTTTACTTCTTTAACTACTCATCCGTAACTAGAATCACTTCGATAAGGTTACTAATTACAGCTGTGACAATACATAATCTTGAGATTCACCAAATGGATGTGAAAATTGGATTTTTAGAGATAAAAATATCTAGAATATTGGAATGAATTGTACTTTCCTAATCTCATTTTTTGAGAAAATATTTAAAAAGTTTGAAGTATTGACACAACCTACAATTGGTCAAATAAGGGTGAAAGCGTGTCACAACTGAGATATTCACAAGTAATTAGCAATCTAATGTATATTACGAAATGCACTCGACCGGATAATGCTTTTGCTGTGAATAAACTTGAAAATTCACGAGTAATTCAGGCCATGATTATTGCGTGGCATTGACGGGGGTCCTTAGGTATTTGAAATATACCATAACCTGTGGATTACATTTCACAAGATATCCTGCTATATTGAAAGGATATTGTGATGCGATGATATACACTAAGTCTAAAGTGGATGAAAGCCGATCATGACGATTGTTTGGATATACAAGAACAATTGGAATATTTAAGAATATTCATAAAGTTTGAATTCATTGCAATGCTTTAATGATGATATTGAATACTCATGTATGAAATCCACTAGTAAATATGATTGACTAGTGTAACGGTTTGCTAGAAATCCTCCTACATTGTTGTTTGGAATTGATAAAGCTTTAAATAAAGCTAATGAGAAGCATGTGGTTTCATGAGAGGATTTCTTAGTTGGTGATAATGTATCTATCAAATGAATCGATTGTTTGCTAGCTAAATTTGAAAATATACTAAGTCACATATAACGGTAAGTCAAGACATGTATGTCGTAGACATAATACTATAAGTAGTTGACCTCATTGGTATAAACTTGTGAATCCATTTATATATGTTTACCAAGAGATCAAGTATATTGCACATCGAAGGGAATAAGATTAAGCCTACTGAGTAAAATCTTTACAACGGTAACCCTACTATGCTGACTGGAGATCCCAAGATCTTGGTTCAAAGGGACAACTAAGTTATGGGGATTCTATGAAGCACTTAGGAAACTAATTTCCTAACTCATTCCTATGATACTAAAGTGCTTTCTGCAGAGTGATTGGAGGTTAAGATAAACTTTAATAATTCCTATATCTTGATTAAATCAAGTGGAGTAGGGCAGAATACTCTTAATAGGAGATCACCTATGTAAGTGTGAAGTGGGGCCGCTTCAATGAAAATTATTCAAAGTTTGAATTTTTTAAACACTTACAGAATCAAGATGGGTTCAGAGCCAAAATGAACCAAATCATGAAAACCATGAACGGTTTATGGGAGACATTGTGTGAGTACTGTGTCTTGGTTTATACTAACGGCTAATGGTTCAAGAACATCGCGTTCATCAATTAGCTAATAAATCCAATAGTATTTCACTAAGGAAGGTTTAAAGCCAGAAGATACCTTACCTGATCCAATGTTTTCCCGCTCTCTCTCTACTAGTGTCTGCATAGACATTTGAATTAATTTTCATTCATGTAGGGGATTGTTGAAATTTTGTATCTAAAATTGGTCGTGACCAATTTTACATAATTATCTAAGTGGAATTCTTAATTTGGTGAATGAGAAATTAAGCCAAATATAAATCGCTTAAATATTGAAAATTATTGAAAAAAATCGTATAGAATATTGTGGAATATTCTAGAAATATATGGAGGAAAAAATGTGGCTTTTTATATGAAAGATCATGACTCTTGGTATGGGTATGATTAATGTCCAATAATTATGAATTCCAAGAGACGTGTCTCTTGGTATAATTGTGTATTTTGACATACATTTTCAACTACTATATATATAGATCCTATGTGTTTAAATTTTATTCATTCAAGAAAAGTTATAGATATCATATCATCTCATTCCAATTTATACTTTGGTTTTGCATAAAACATTTGCATCAAAGTCATGGTCATGGTAGAGAGGGAATTCCATTCGAGTTTGCTGGTCAAAGTCATTTGGAGTGCTCTTATGGCTCGACATGATCGTTGTATCTTGGGAGATGATTGTCGAAAAATCGTTAGCACCGATGTGGAGCAAATTTATCTTAAGGACAAAGTGTTCAACACTTACCTCGGCCAAAAATTCATCACTTGCATCTTCATCCTCATTTTCTGATTTCCTTTTATTATGATTTAATTTCAGAAAATGATTAATCTAATTTATATATTTATATTACAAGGTTCAATCGTTTAAGAATCGAAAGATTCATATTCTTCGGAATCGGTTCAATCATTCAAAAATCGAAAGAGAGGGTTCCACATTCATACTCTTCAAAATCGGTAAATTCTCATTTTGCCTAATTAAATCTAATTTCAGTAAGTTGGAATACGTTTCGATTTCATGCAAATAAACGATATGTTTATTGTGAATATAATATGCACAATTATTGGTGTAATTTTCCAACAAAGAGTACCAACAAGCATCCCAAAAGACAATTACCTTAATTGTAAAATGGATGAACTTAAACGAAGTTCTAAAAACTGATGCGTACCTATCAACGGCTCTTCTAGTTGTACTATGTTGATGAGTGACAATAACATATGATGCAATCTTTCCAGGCTTCCCAAGTCCTTACCTTTGATATGAACAGAGCGGATGAGATCCTCAACTACAGTAGATACAATTGGATCCAGTCCAGCACTTGGTTCATTGTACAGGAGCACCTGCTCAGATGTGAATGCAACTATCACCAGAGAGGCAAATGACCACGTTTCAATTAAACTGATTCGAGCTTAAAGAAAAATACAATTTCATATCAAAAGAGCTGTCATTGTGTAGTCTTTATCCTATCTACCCTGAGATTGCCCATCCACTCTCTAGCGCTGTGTGTAGATCCATTTTAAGTGTTATGTAGTTTCTATATTGACTAAAGATCTCCAAAATGCTGTCTACACCTATGATTGCATCAACAATGTTCACCATGCATTTCTACAATCCCCATACCTAAAGAAAGAAGGAAATACCAAAGTAGGATTAAAATCTTAGTTTTGTTTAAACTCAATCAAGCTAGGCATTAACTATCTATTGAAGTTAAAGAGAAAAGAGGTAGCAAAGAATATAGCAATTCCAAATGTATTCTCAATACCAGGGCAACAAGCAAGGTTTTTGATAAGTGTATTTTACACTCTTATTTGAGTCCTAAAATAGCAATATTTGATAGTTCTTTTGACAAATCATATGATAACTTGTTATATTTTATGTTTAATAGGTAAATTCTATAAATGAAAAGGAATTGAAGGAATAAACAAAAATTGGCGAAAGATGGCAAAATCTAAAGTATGGGTACTAAGTTGGCCATTGGATGCAAAGTTTGCATATCAAATTTCATACTTTGGAAAGTGAATGACTTGCATTGAATCAAAGAATATATGGGTTGCAACAAATTAATTGGGCAATGATTGAATTTCATTATATTAAAAGAATTGAGGACTTGGAGTGAAAAAGGGTGAAATTATAATTGGGCCTCAATTAGATGGGGAATTGGAGTCTCTTTTGGAATCAATTAGTGGGCTGTTAGGTTATTATATATATGCACACGTCTACAGGAATAAAGAGGGCAGCCGAGATTATTAGATTACGCACAATAAAGAAAAAAAACCGAGCTGCTAGGAATTGGAATACAAAAAGATGGCGGCTGCTGCTGCTGGATTATATCCAATATAATAACATAAATTGAAGCAGCTTTGGGGAGAGTTTGTTGGGCTGAATTGGTGGGTGGAAAAAGAGAGAAAAGTGGGCAGCAATATTATCTTTTTTACACACACATTGGAGGAGTCGGCTGGAGAAAATATAATCACAAGAACGGCGGCTGGAGAGAAGAAAAAGGGGAATTCGGTGGGGGGAGGAAAATTACATTCACGCATTTAGAGATTTGGGGCTGCTGGAAATAAAAAGGTGCTGTATGCTTTATTATATAGACTGCAAAAACACGGAAGATTGAAAGAAAAGAGGCAGTGAAGAGTTGAAGATAAATACCCGTATAGACGGCGGACGGAAGGCATGTGGATAGAAGAATAAATCACGTTCCGTCAAAATTTTTGGTGATGTCTCTTAATGTTGAATAGCAAAGACACTTTTATTGATCATAAAAGGATAAGCCACTTTCTTAATTGCCAAGCAAGAAAGATACACGCATGCAAGTGGTGATGGTGGCAAAATTGAAGTTTCCAACTAATGATAGCCACATTTTTTGACTAAATTGATAAGGTTGTTGATATCTTAATTGGTAAGAAAGACTCCATGCATGCATACAAGTGAGGATGAGAAATTCAAGTTTTCTTTCTCCATTTACTTGACAAGGCAAATGTGTAAAGAATTCTAGCAAATGAAGGTGGTAGAACTTTGACTCTTCCAAACAATTATGGAGGTTAAAATTCTCTATAAATATGGACAAGAGTTTGAGAGAAAAGGGTGTGTCATATGAAGAGGAAAAATTCAGAGAGAAAAATTGTAAGGTGAAGAGAAGAGAAGAGAGAAAATTTATTGTTTTTCTCCTAAGTTCTTTTTTTTCTACTTGTTTTCTCCTATTACAAGAGAGATTATTCATTGTTATCTCCTTGTATTTAGAGAGATCGTTGTAATTCTCCTACTATAGTGAATCATCTCATACTTACCCGTGGAAGTAGCCTAAATTGGGTGAACCACGTAAATACCTGTGTCCATTTTTAGCTGTGTTTTCTCAATTCCATTATTTGTCAACCAAACTCGACCCACGCATTTTCTCCCCAACACTTAACTCTTCCATGTTTAATTTCAACATTATGCATGGCTAGATTTTTATATTCCTAGGATATAATGAACTCTTGTTATAAATTTTTGGTATGAATAATTAGATTGATGTTAAATTTGTTTGAATTTTTGGATATTATTATGGTTTAAATTGCTTTTTAATTATCTGGTCATTAATTGAATTGTTTGTGAATTTTATTATCATCGAGAGATGTAATATGATTGTTAGCACATAGTAATAAATATTGCGAAATTCGATAGAGGATAGAGATATACCTCTATACTTCACATGATTTTATAAGATGTCCTAACTCGTTTAATGCATTTATCATGTTCGCCTCTTTCATTAAGAGATAGGAAGGTCGCGTGAGGAGAATAAATTTGATAACTATCGAGAGAGGTTTTCAATTAAAATAGGAACATTGACCAACAAGTATGATTTCAAATTGTCAATTTAAATTATCGAACTAAAAATAGATTAATAAGGGAAATTCTACATTTTAGCAATATTTTTTGTGAATTTGATAAATTTTCTTTACATTGCTTTTAAGTTAGTTGACAAATTTAATAGTTTTTAATTATAACTCGATTTTGCTATTCGATTAAGGGTAGTATTAGCTTTAAGTTGATCGAACCTACACATCACTTTATTATTTGTCCACGATCCCGTTTACTTACGGGAAATCAGACGACCAAGTTTTTGGCGGCGTTGCCGTGGACTATAGTTTTTGATAAGTTTTAACTAATTTACCTTTAATCTAAATTTTATTTTAATTTTTTAGTCAGTTCATTAATTTAGAAAAATACTATAGTGTTTTCTATTTTTCCTTTCCAAGACTTTGTATGCAAAGTTCGAGAATCAGAGATCTTACTCAATTTGATCCAGAAATCGAGCGAACGTTCAGAATAAGAGAACAATTAGAAGCATACCAAAAATAGCAAGCAGAGCTCATGGCAGAACAAAATCCGAATTAAATAGCAATCAAGGCTAATCTGGGTGTAGCGCAATCGAATAAAGTTGCAGCCAACGAAAATGATAGGTTGATGGGAGAGTATATGGTTCCACCGGTCGTGGAGAGCCAATCCAGTATAGTATATTCGACATTTGGTCAACCAAATTTTCACTTGAGGACAGATGTGATCAACATGTTCTAAAATACACTGCAATTTTTTGGGAAACCTATTGAAAATCTCAATGCTCATATCTCAAGATTCTTAGAGGTGTGCAACAATCGATTATCCAGGTGTTTCAAGCGAAGCAATTCGACTAAGGCTTTTTCCTTACACTTTGAGAGATTTAGCTAGAGAATGGATGGATACTTTTCCTCCACAGAGCATCACCAGTTGAAATAGTCTGAGCCAGAAGTTCCTGAACAAATATTTTCCACCTAAAAGGATTGCCAGGTTGATGGACGAAATCACCACATTCTATCAACTTGACTCGGAGTGCTATTATGAAGCTTGGGAAAGGTATAAGGGGCTGCACCGTCAATGTTCACAGCATGGATTGCAAAAATAGCTCCAGGTACAATATTTCTACATTGGGCTAAATCCGACAAGCAGGGCTAATGTTGACTCCGCATGTGATGGTTTTATCATAAAGAGAACAGCAGATCAAGGATATCAAATCATGAAGGATTTAGCATTCACTAGTGCACTATGGCATACGAAAAGGACATGTGTAAAGAAAGTAGCTGGGATACATGAGTTGGATCCATTAACAACAATCTCAGCACAGCTGGCAGTTTTAACTAAAAAGGTGGATCAGATGAATGACATTCAAGCAGTCAGACAAAAATGAAAGCACTGTGGAGGAAATCATGAAAGTGCTGATTACACCGTGGGTAGTCCTTTTGCACAATCACTAGAAGATGTAAATTATGCTTAAAATTTGCAAAGACAGCAACCTAATCAGAATCCCAACACCTACTACCCAGGCTGGAGAAATTATCCAAGTTTTTAATAGAGCAACTATTAGAGAGCTCAGATTGCGCCACAACAGACTGCACCGCCAGGTTTTTAGCGAGCTGAAAATAAATCTTCATTGGAAGATCTTGTTACTAAATTGGAGGAGATCTCTACACAACACATACAAAGAACGGATAAAGCCTTGCAAGTTCAAGGAACTGCCATTAAGAATTTGGAAAACCATATGGGTCAAATAACAAAAGCACTCCCAGAAGGACAGAAAAGAGCATTGCCAAGCAACACTGAGATAAATCCTAAGCAGCAGGTAATGATAATAAAAGTTGTAGAGAATGAGGAGGTTGGGGCAATCATTACACGCAGTGGGGTTCAACTTCCAGAAATTACAGTTGAGAGACGGGTGACAGAAAATAAAAAGGTACATTTTATAGATAAGGAGCAAATGGATAAATTTGAATAACTAGACAAAGTAGTTCCATCTTAAGAGCTAGAAAATCTACAGGTCAAGCCAATCGTTCCTATCAAATCTTATGTGCCTATGGTCCCATTTACGCAGAGATTACAAAAGAGGAAGTTGGAAGATCAATTTGCAAGGTTCTTGGATATCTTCAAGAAGTTTCATGTCAACATCTCACTGATTGAAGCTATATCTCAAATATCAAACTATGAAAAGTTTTTGAAGAAGATCCTATCCAAAAAGAGAAGGCTTACAGATTTTGAGACCATCAAGTTAAATAAGGAGTGTAGTGCCATCTTACAGAACAAATTACCTCCTAAGCTACAAGATCCAGGGAGTCTCAAAATACCTTGCTCAATAGGGAATGATTCAAATTTTAATCGTTTATGTGACTCAGGAGCAAGAATAAACCTAATGCATTTCTCTATACACAGGAAATTAGGATTGCAAAAGCTAGATGACACATCCATTTCCCTTCAATTGGCAGACAAATGAATAAATACCCGCGATGAGTGGTTGAGAACGTGCTCATTAAAGTGGGCAAATTCATAT